AAACTTTTCTTGAAAGGAAAATGAAAGTTCAGAACTTTGTTTTTCAGGGTTTTTATCTGACATTAGCGTCTCCTCTTACAGTAAATTACCACCGGTCTCTTGCCCATTATGACAATGAAGAGAATTTTTATTATTTGGAGTGTTTCTTGGCTAAATGTTTATATTCTCAATTCAGTTCGCAGTTTAAAAGGCATCAAATCTCCAGTGTTGTATATTTGTCATCCGAATAGGTGTACACATCGTCTCCCTCCAAATAGTCAAGTTACAGTATCTTAACTTTTGGTGCAAGCTCTTCTTCTTAAATTAAAGTTCACTATCTAGATCATGTTTTTAGCTTTGGCTTACTAAAGAAAAACATGATGACAGTATTCGTTTTTTTTGTCTATGATCTATATGGACATCATCCCTCTTAGGCCGTGCATACTGGCTCATTATCTGTTCTGCAGCGTGGCATAATGGTTCCTGATGCACGAGACAGTGCGGCGGCCTTGGAAGCTGGCCTGTTTACTGTCATAGTGACATTGAGTACATACTGGTGTACTAATTGGTGTGGCTGTAACCTAGAGTTCCTGGTACTGTCATCTTTTTTCTAGCACATTGAGAATTTTCAAAAGTATGATGCACTATTTATTGATTCATTCAGTAGATAACCTCAGTACCTTTGATGTGTACAAGAAATTTTGGTTTGGTGAGCAAAACAGGATGATAGGGTCTCAACCTCTGGTTTTTGTAGATGCTTGCAGGACAGTGTATGCTCTAGGGATCCTCGAACTTTTACCTTGTCGGGTAGGCTCCCAGGGAGTTTATTTAGACCCCTGAAGTCCCTACAATGGAAGGCTTTCCCATAGAGCTAACCAGTACCTAGCCAGTTCATTTATTCACATGGGTGAATAGGGTGGAAGTTGGAGAGTCAGTCAGCAGACTCTTGTAGAGCTGAGCTGTGTGCAGAGTTTGCTGAGCTGGCCCTGCCTGCGCCTAACACCCAGCCTCTTGTGGGGCCTGGGGCTTAGTGTGAAGTGTCAGCTCATGGGAAAAAGAGGAGTGTTATTAAGGACTGCCTGACTCAACATGCATAGGAAATCTGTGAATCCTGTACTAAGAGAATTTCAGGATTTTAGATGAATTAATAAATGATGGATCACTGGCTCTTGAGAAAGATGAGGATATGTGGTATATGTCCTTAAATGTTTCAACTTTATGGCCTAGAAAAATGCAAGGGGCACCCGGGTGGCTCAGTTGGCTAAGTGTCTGATTCCTGATTTCCACTCAGGTCGTGTTCTCAGGGTCATGGGCTCAAGCCCTGTGTCGGGCTCTGCGCTGGGTGTGGCGTCTGCTTGAGATTCCCTCCCTCTCCCCCCTCCCTCTCCCTCTGTCCCTCCCTACACCCTCCCCAAAGAAAAGAATTCAAACATATCCAAAAATAGAGGTCACATAGCTTTTTAAGGTACAGACTTTGAAACATTATGCAGCTAGAACAGACGGCCCCCGCCTGGCCGGGCGCCAGCTCACACCTTGGGTGGAAGAGCTGTGGGGCAGCTTTCAGGAGCACAGACTAGCAGCTTCAACGTTTCTTAATGGTGATCTTCCCACAGTGCTTCCCTTGTCATTTGGGGATCTTCCTCTGTGAGGTCGGAGTGACTGTCAGCTGGCGGGGGTAATGCACTTGATGGAGGCGCAGAATCAGAGCACAGGGGGGGCCCCCATCTGGTTCAGCCACCAGCTGGACAGCCATCACCCACAGAGCCTTTAAAATACGTTCCTTTCTGGGTCCCAGCTCCACAGGGTCTAATTGGATGGATTCTGGATTAAAGCCCAGGATGGCTCAGATTAGAACTCTCCCCAGGTGACTGATAGGTAAACCGAGTGTCCCTGACCAGTCGGGGCAATGAGAATACAAGTGGTCCTTAGGAGAAAGCACTCAGTCGTCTTCACCAAGCATGATGTGACCTGCCCATTTGTAGTAGATGCCCTTTCTGGGTTGACAGAGGTTCCTTCTGTCCCTCGTTTGTGGAGAGGTTTAATCAGGCATGCTTTTCCTACACCAGTGCAGGCGATCATGTGGCTCGGTAACATTCACTGGTTTTGCAGTGTCCAGCCAGCCTTGCCTTCCTGGGGTCCGTCCGTGCTGCTAGGGCATGGGGCGCGGTCCCTTTTCTGTGTGGATGCGTCAGGTTGCTGATATTTTGGTAGGGACCTTGCTTCACGTACGTTTGTGAGGGTGTGCTTTGGCGGCTTTCCTCTCCTGTGAGGTCTTCAGCGTTTCTCTCCGGGTCGTGCCGGCCTCAGAGGATGAGTGGGAAGGTTCTTCCTTCTCCTCTCTTCTTCCTGAAACAGTGGTTTTTCTTTGCAGGAGATTTTTCATTACCAATTCAGTGTCTTCTCAGATTTTCAGGTTTTCTCTTCATTCTTGAATCCGTCTTGGTGTTTTGCATTTCTTCTGCAGTCTGTCCATTTCTCCTCCGCGGCCTGACTTGTTGGTATAAAGTTGTTCATGATGGCCTTTTTCATTTTGGGTGGGGCCTGTCGTGATGACCTCTGCTCTCTTGTTTCTGATTTTGGTCATTTGTGCCCTCTCTCTCCCTTTTTCTTGATCAGTTTAGTTAGAGGTCATCAGTTTTGTTGATCTCAAAAATGCAACTTTTGGTTTCATTGATTTTTCTCTATTGTTTTTCTGTTTCCTGTGTCATTGCTTTTTGCTGTGATCTTATTGTTTCCTTCCTCGTATTTTGGGTTTGATTTCCTTTTTTTCCCCCTAGCTTCTTGAGATAAAAGCTCAGGTTATTGATTTCAGATTTTTTTTCCTTTCTGACATAACTCTTCAGTTGCATCCCCTAGATTTTGATTTGTTGTATTTTTATTCAGTTCAGAATATTTTTTGATGAGTTTTTTTTATTCTTATTTCATTTCTTAGCCTGGCTTCCTAGGGTTCGACCCTGTTGCTACATAGCTTGTTGGTTGGCCAGACAGTCATTCAGGAAGAGATTGGCTGGTGGTTTGTGGGGGGGGGGTGGGCACTGGCCCTCAGAGCCCACCGCCGCTCATTGTCCTCCCTACCGGCTCCCTACCCGTGTGAGCTTCCCTGGCTCTCTGGCACTTACCTAGGCCTTCTGGAGGTCTTTGATTTCCAGGATTTCCCATTGTGTTTTTCCGATTATTGGCTGGTTTGCTATTGTTCCAGAAAGGCCTCGGGCTGACAGGTTGGTGGGCGTTCCCCATTCCCTTCCCCCCAAGTTTGCTTCGCCTGCCACCCGCGGCCCTGCACGGCTGCGGCCCTGCACGCCAGGTCTCAGGAGTAGGTGCTGGTCCTTGACTCTTCACTTTCGTTGACTCCCAGAGACCTGAAATGCTTGTTCTGGATGGTTTTGTCAGGTATTTATTTCCGGGGTTGGGGGGGAGATTTGCCATCCCCTTCATGTTGCCATAGCCAGAAGCCCTGCCACAGGTGACAGTTTTAATCCCATTTCTCTTGGGTCCCAATTACTTTGGGCAGTTTTTACACAAATCTTATCTACACCTATCTTGCTCCAGCCCCTGTCCCTTCACTTTATTTCATTAAACTGTCTCTAAAAGATAAGTGTAGAGGGGAGCAGAAAGCGAGGCACAGAATCCACAGGCTGCTGCTGAGCTAATTCAGCCAGCTCCTTTATGGAAACACTGGTGCAGCTCAGCAGGCTGCAAGGCAGGGCTCACTGACCGCTCATCGGAGCTCCTGTGGGTTTGAGGAATGGAGCCTCGTGCTGTCCAGATCAGAATCTTACTGTCCACTTGCAGGCATCCATTTCTGCTCAGATTATGTAATTTAGCAGGGCAAGATAGGATTTTCTTGCTGCCCACACTTCCTTTCTTGGTCACCCGCTACTCTCTTGGAGAGATCCTGCACTTACACTGAACAGGCGCCATCCAGAGAGATTTTTTTATGCTGCCTGGTGGTGTAAACATAAATAGTACAGCTTGACTATGTTCAGTAGCAAAAATTTGAGAACATTTTAAAGATCTAATTGGCTTTATTAAACGATTTGTGAATTGGGCAGCATCCCATCCAGCAAGCAGAGGAGGCCCCCGGGAGGTGTACAGCATGGGAGATTTTTATAGAGGAGGAGAGGGCGAGAAAGTTATTGGCAAAAGAAAAGGATGGTTTCAGGCAGGTGGCTCTCCCTTAGGGGGAAAGTGATTGTCTTATGCAGATGAGACAGGGCCCTGCTCTTCAGCGGTGATTGAAAACTTCCTGACTGACCAATGAAGACCACGTTTCCGGCGGGGGGGGGGGGGTTGATTATTCCGCGAGCCCCAGTTTGGGAGCTCTAAGTGACACCATTTTGGGCCTGTGCTTTTCTTTTTAAGAAATTCAACAATTTTTAAGGTCAAGAAACAAGGAATTGTTAGTAAAACTCTAAAGGTTTAGATTTCTGATCCTTGCAAAGCTTATAATAGGGCCCACGAGTCCATCCTGAAATCACTGACTTGAGAGGGTGAGGCACTTTGCGTCTCAGCGGGAGGCGGGGTGGGGGGCTGCGGGAGAGGACCAGGGGTCAGTGCTATGTCCCCAGGGCCTACGGCCACAGCCAGTGAGGTGTGTCCTGAGGACAGTCCACTTCGCGTTACGTCTGAAGACGGGTTAAAAGTTTAAAACCCCTGCCCGTGCAAACTGTCAGATTTTAACAAGAACGCTCTTGAAAGTGGCAAATGCATGTTGAGTATGAAGTATTTTTAAAGTTAAACAGTTTTTCACTGGGCTAAACAGCACTTACTTTAATCACAGGCCTCTTGAGTGGATACAGTAATTAAAGATCTTCATGCTTTAAATTTCAAAAATATGATGAAAACCCAAACAGTGTCGGATAAGAAATTTCCTTAGTGGCTCTAGTGAAATGACAGGTTTGGTTTTTCACTTTTTTGAAATAGTTTTGCTGTTGTTTGAGCACCAACCGAGGCGGACTCCCTGATGCTGGGGAAGGCCGCCCGGCCAAGCAGGTACTGACCAGCACGCTGCCTTGTTTCAGCAGGGAGGAGAGAGCGACGGCTTTTTTCACCCTGAGGGCCAGCCCCAGCGGCTCCCACAGCCCCCAGAAGTGAGGCAGCAGCCCGCCCGCAAGGTGACGCTGACCAAGGGGGCCCTTCAGCAGCCCCACCACCCACCGGTGGCGTCCCACGTGCACTCGGCCGGCCCTCCGGGCATCAAGAGCATCCAGGGAGTCCATCTGGCCAAGAAGGTACTGCCTGTTACCTAGGCCGAGCGCCGCGAAGTAGAGTAGATGCTCTCCTAGTTACAGCGCTCGGCATTTGGACAGTTCTCAGCTAGGAGTGCCTATAGCGCACAGTAGGAGGGCTCAAGTCAGTTTATAAATGAACAGTAATCCCCTTTGTTCTGGCTTCGAAAGCTCCTGTGTTCACAAAAGGACTTTCCTCTCGTGACTTTGTAATGGGAGAAGTCGGGGGAAAGACCGCACAGCCGAGGGTGTGGCTGTTTTCTGCAGCTCTGACCCGTGCCCTGGAGACGACCCTGTGCTCCTAGATCCCCGTCGGAGACATTTGCTCAGCCACTTCCTTGCTGTTACCCCAGTTCACAAGTGGGAAAGCGAGGCCTTTGGGGGTGAAGGACCTGTCTGAAGAAAGTGGCCCTGACTCTGGTTCTTTCCTCCTTCCTTCGCCCAGGGGATTGAAGGGGTTCTGGCTCTGACTCTCTGATAAGAGACAAGGGCATCCAGAACACCTTCCGTGGAGGTGCATGTTCTCCTTTTGCGCACTGAATTTAAAACCTTCTCTAGGAGAGGAGTGTGGGCCCACTTTCTCCAGTTATGTCCCCGTAGTCGGGCGCCCTTCCCCTCAGCTGGTAGGGGAGCCGTCTCTGTTCCTTCCCCAAAGCCTTCACCTCTCTGCCCGACAGTAAAGTCTCCTTTTGGTGTATAAGTCAGATGCCCTTTTGTCTGATGGAATTATGCAAGGGAGGAAGCAGGGCGGCAGCACCTGCTTTTGAGTTTCTTCTAGAAAGCTCTGCAGTCTACTAGCTCTTCCTGTCGGCTTGTCCTTCTACTGTTACTAAGTAGTAATAGTATTAATATGAAGGCCATTCTGAGTCTTTGAAGTATTTAAATGACTTTGTCTATATTATAAGCACTTGATGATGTAGGAGCAAACAAAATTATTCCCCTTTTGCAACAGAAGACAGACATTAAATCTTAACTTCAGTCTTTGAAGGTTGCTCCGGTCTAAACTGGCTTCAGTCAGGGACTGTCCCCCGATACATGAGGAGAGAGACATTAAAGGCCCCCTTCCCCGTACAGCTGTGCGCATCTGAAACCTTCGTCTCCTCTCCTGTGAAGTGAGGACAGCAATGTTTCCTAGCTCATGTGGGCTCTTGGGAGGATTTCATTAGAAGATGCATATAAAAAGCATGGTCCCTGGTGTATAAGGAATACACCTTTAATAATAATACATAATAATACATAACAAATAATACACAATAATAATATTGTTATTAATATTCTAACATTATAGCTAGAACATAAGACTATTTACTGCTGGTTTCCAGCCAGTTTTACTTGCAACTTCTTTTTTCCTAATTCCATTATAGTTAACATCGGTGTTATATTAGTTTCAGGTGTACAATATAGTGATTCCGCAGAATTCCATAGATTACCTGGTGCTCGTTGTGCTAAGTGTGCTCTTCACCCCGTCACCTGTCTCAGCCATCCGCCCACCCACTCCCCCCTGGTGACAGGTGTGTTCTCTAGAGTCAAGAGTCTGTTTCTGGGTTTGCCTCTTTTTTCTTTGTACATTTGTTTTCTTAAATTCCACATAAGAATGAAATCATATGGTGTTTGTCTTTCTTTGGCTTATTTCGCTTAGAGTAATACTCTCTAGCTTCATCCACATCATTGCAAATGGCAAGATTTCATTCTTTTTGATGGCTGAGTAATATTCCGTGTGTGTGTGTGTGTGTAATATATATATACATACAGCACATATTTTTTTTCTCCATCTTTAGATGGACACTTGGGCTGCTTCCATAGTTCAGCTATTGTGTTTTTGATTTTAGCCATTCTGAGAGGTGTGAGGTGATTATCTCACTGTTGTTTTGATTAGCATTTTCATGGTGATGCATGATGTTGAGCGTCTTTTCATATGTCTTTTGGCCATGTCTTCTGCCCATTTTTTAAATGGATTGTTTGGTTCTGGGGTGTTGAGTTATATCAGTTCTTTATGTATTTTGGATACTAGGCCTTTATCAGATATGTCATTTGCAAATATCTTCTCCCATTCCGTAGGTTGCCTTTTAGTTTTGTTGATTGTTTCCTTTGCTGTGTAGAAGCTTTTTATTTTGATCCCAGTAGTTTATCTTTGCTTTTGCTTCTCTTGCTTCAGGAGACATATTTAGGGAAATGTCACTATGACCAATATCAGAGAAATTACTGCCTGTGATCTTCTAGGATTTTTATGGATTTAGGTCCTTAATCCATTTCGAGTTTATTTTTGTGTATGTGTAAGAAGTGGTTCAGTTTCATTCTTCTGCATGGCTGTTCAGTTTTCCCAAGACCACTTGTTGAAGAGACTGTCTTTTTCCCATTGCATATTCTTGCCTCCTTTGTCAAAGATTAATTGACCATATAGTTGTGGATTTATTTCTGTTTTTCTATTCAGTTCCCTTAATCTAGGTGTCTTGTTTTTGTGCCAGTACCATACTGTCTTGATCACTACAGCTCTGTAATATAATTTGAAGTCTGGAATTGTGATGCCTCCAGCTTTGCTTTCCCCTTTCAAGATTGCTTTGGCTATTTGGGATCTTTTCGTAGTTCCATACAAAGTTCAGGATTGTTCTAGTTCTGTGAAAAATGCTGTTGGTATTTTGATAGGGATTGCATTAAATGTGTAGATTGCTTTGGGGTATTATAGACATTTTAACGTAATTTGTTTTTCAAGCCATGAGCATGGAATGTCTCTCCATTTCTTTGTGTCATCTTCAGTTTCTTTCACCAGTGCTGTATATTTTTCAGAGTACAGGTCTTTTGGTTAGGTTTATTCCTAGGTATCTTATTTTTGGTGTGACTGTAAATGAGATTGTTTTCTTAATTTCTCTTTATGTTATTTCATAAACAGATTTCTGTACATTGATTTTTTTTTTTATCCTGCGACTTTACTGAATTCATTGATTAGTTCTAGTGGTTTTTTGGTGGAGTCTTAGGGTTTTCTGTATGTGGTATCATGCGATCTCCAAATAGTTAGGGTTTTACTTCTTCCTTACCAATTTAGATGCCTTTTATTTCTTTTTCTTTTCTGGTTGCTGTAGCTAGGACTAACAGTCCTGTGTTGAATAAAAGTGGTGAGAGTGGACATCCCTTTCTTGTTCCTGGTATTTGGGGAAAAGCTCTCAGTTTTTCCCATTGAGTATGATGTTGGCTGTGGGTTTTTCATATATAACTTTTATCATGTTGAGGTATGATCCCTCTAGACCTGTTTTGTTGGTTTTTACCATGGATGGACGTTATACTTTGTCAGATGCTTTTTGTGCATCTGTTGAAATGATCATACACTTTTTATCCTTATTGATATGATTTACGTGCACCTTTTGATGTGTTTTCCAATGTGACTTCTCTTGAAATATCCTTTTGCACTTTTCAAAAACTCACTTCCCAGGTGGAGTTTTGCTGCCTTCTGGGGAGTGTTAAGAAATGTCGTTTTGTATGCATTTCCCTTTGTTTGGTGCCCGTTCATGTGCAAAGGTTCCATTCTGATTTCCATTTACCTTCCTCTCTGCACTTTGATGAACAGGGGTCATTTTTGTCCCTTTGTACCCAGATTCTAGGGCAGAACTTGGGTTAGGATGTCTGGAAGCCCTGGTGCTGTTCAGTTCCTCCTGCCTCCTGCATTTCACCACTGCCCCGCAGAGGAGGAGTTTTGTTTTAGAGAAAGCACTTGGCACTTGGTGCTTTATCTGATTTTCTAATTAGAAAATACCAGGAAGTTTCAGCTGTCTCCTCGTCTTTAAAAGACCCTCGAACAGTGGTTTTGTACCCCTGGACAACTTAAAAATCTCCTGAGGTCTGGGCCCTGCTTTAGAACAGGGACGTCATCACTGTGTGGTGGGGAGGGGGACCCGGGCATTGTTGTGGCTTGGATTTTGTTGGTGTTGTTAAAGCTCTGTGATGTGCAGGATGGTGATGTGCAGCAGCTGGGAGGTGACCCCAGCTACAGAACCTGCCTTTCAGATTCTCAGGGTGCCGGCTGCACAGAGTCAAGAGGAGACTTGGGTCCATAACGTTGTGGCTTGTGGTGGGTGTGTGGTGGCACCAGTCCCCATGGGTGTGGCCTGGAGTACGCCAGGAGAAATTTGGCCTCTGGGGCTGTTAGGACCAGACCCAAACAAGTTTCTTAGCCCCTCTGATCCTGCTACTTCATCTGCCAACAGTGGTTACACTGAAAGTGCCTGCCCGTATTGCACTTGGTACGGACATAGAGTCACACTTAGCTCTTCTCTTTCCCTCCTTTGCCTCCACCCAGACTTGCTGGGGATGGTTTCACTTCGACATTAAACCCTGCTCTGGTAGTGGATGAAAAGTACAGATGATCCTGTAGCTCGTGGTATGTTGTAACGGATTCTGAGTTGTTTGCCCACTTGTATAATCTTAGCAGCTGTGGGAAGAAAATCCAAAGCTTGAAAGTCAAATCATACTTTGCTTTTGCCAGGTCCTCATGCACGGGAGGGGCCGAGGCGTGGCAGGAGCGATGGGCCGGGGACGCCTGATGCCGAACAAGCAGAACCTCCGAGTGGTGGAGTGTAAGCCTCAGCCCTGTGTCGTGTCTGTTGAAGGGCTTTCTTCGTCCACTACTGATGTCCAGCTGAAGAACCTACTGATGTCAGTAGGCCCCATTCAGGTGCGTCACCTGAGGCCCTTCCCCAAGACTCAGGTCTCAATTTAAATTCCCTCTGTGTTGGTTACTTCATGTTAAAATAGTACATTCGAGAAGAAAGATATATTTTATTTCCTGTGCGTGCCTGCTATCAGAACTTTGCCTTAGAGTTAGATTATTTGGAAATTTTCAGGTGCTCAATTATGAGACTTATGAAATGATTTTGCCAAATCCTCATATTATCCTCAAGTTTACACAGGCATCTGTACATACATACTTTCTGTTCTATCACACACTTTTGTTTGTAATAACTTAAAACTTTTAAAGCATTTGGCCTTCTTAACCATAATTTCCAGAAATAGCTCATATGTTAACAACTATGAAACTTGGTTTAGATTTTACAAACATGAAATAATGTAGACTATAGTTTGATCTCTTTATTTTACAACGGGTTATTTCTGAATGCTCAAAAGTCTCTGCTGAGATGGCTGCAGATGTGTCTCCAGTTCTGCAGTAAATAGAATTCTCCACTCAAACCCCTGATCTCTGCATCTTCTTGAGTCCTGTAGGTCAACTGGCAGAGAAGCGGGTTGACCTGGTTTTCCTCGAGCCTCGCGTCTCTCTGGGTCAGATCCCACCTGGGCGAGACGTGGAGTGTGAATATCAGATTTCTGTGTGCTTTCCTTTCAGGGAATTTTCTAGCCTCTTACTGCATGAGTGAATGGGGAAAACATCTTTAGAGTTGAGACAAATAATTTTTAACATGTTTGAAATCGGTCTACTGTTGAGAGTCTCTAAATGTGAGGAGTGGATGAAAGCCTTTCCCAAACCCCCTGTGTTCTTCATTTCTGGATTCCTAGGGAGATGGTGAGGGTTAGTTTCTATTTGTGGGTCATAACAGAAAGTTAACACTTGGGCTTCTGTGTTCAGTGTAGTCGATCGCGCCATGGTGCGGCGGAGACTGGTGTCGGTTACGCGGGGCCGGCAGCCCCTTCACACAGGTCACCGCTATGGGGACGGACTTGCAGGAGCAGAGCAACACTGGAGTGTCGTAGGTGCATTAACGCTTGCTCGTCCTGGCCCGAGACTCCCACACGTGGTGGTGGAGAATCTGAGCTTCAGTCGCAGTGAGTCCGGACTAGCAGACCAGAGCCTACTCCGGGAGTTCTGAGGACTGGTGTTCTCTGTGAGGGCTCGCGGGCAGTCTCTTGGCCCCGTGTCTCTGTTTCCCTGTGTGCTGGGGAGTGACAGCATGGCCGCTCTCCACACGTGATCTGCTAGTGGTCATGGCTTTGCTTCCTCACACATAGTCTTGGTAATTCTCCTGAGCGTTCTCAACCGGGATGTGGTTTTCAGAGTCCATATCTGAATAGTGGTACAGGGTCATTGGCTGCTTGGAGCCATTGCTAAGCCACCTAACCTTGGTCTTACCCATCTTAAAACTTGAATTTTGAATTTTGCATCTGGGGCCTATCTTTTTCTGTTCTGAAAAGCATTAGAGATCAGTATGTTATAAATAAAGTTGGAGGGAACCTAAAGCCAAACAAAAACTGTTGGATTATTTAATGCCTTATAGGAAGAGGAGAATGAATTTTCTAGGTTCCATCAGTTACCCTTAAGATGGGGTGGAAGGCGAGCTTCCATCTGCCCCTGGAGAAACCCCTGTGCGTTTCTGTGGAGTGGTGGAATGATGAATTTAGCACTTAGATAAGGGCCTGTTTCTCCACCTGGGGGACAAAGCAGAGTGCCCACATCTGGCCAGTCTTAGTCCCATAGGATTGTTTTGAGGGGGAGTTTATAAATTTTTAAACACTGCATTCACAGAATGTCAAGTTTCTTAATTAAAAAAAAAAATAAAACAACGTAACACGTCCCTGCCAGTGTTAGATAGCTAGAGAATGATATGATTAAGTACACATTTTAACAAGACTCACTTATGGTTTAAGTATAAATAGACTTGGAGAAGGGATGGTGCTTGGTAACCCAGACCTTCTGCGGTCCTGCCGGGAGGAATGTGTGTGTGGAGCGTCTGTGTGTGCTGGACTCCGGCGCCACCTTGCGGCCACTTGGTGTCATAGCACGTGGTGTCTAGAGCAGGAAGGTGCCCTGTTGCTTTGGGCCTTTGTAAAATCACAGCGAGGGCATGTGAGCTCTGCTTCTTGAACTGTGAAATCTGAGAGGCTTTCTCAGGGTGACAGTGGACTGTGACAAGCTGGTCACGTTTCTCTCAAATTAGTATGCTGTCCCTTTAGTACTCAGAGACCTCTCTAGAAAGTCCATGTTAAAATCCTGTGTGGACTCACTCTTCACAGAGTAAGGAAAGACAGAAAGATTTTGTAGACACGTTACAAGCAGAAGGTAGCCACGGCGTGAAGAGTTGCAGGGGAGGGGGCTGTGCGGCGCTCAGTAGCAGCCATGGTGCGAGTCTTGAGTCTGCGAGAAGGCTGTGCCTCAGTCCCCAGACCCAGCGGGAGGCAGCTGCTCCCTGGTGACCTGCCCGGCTTCCCGCAGGAGTGACCCTGACCTGCTGCTCCGTCCCGAAACACGGAAGCCAACGGAGCTCTTCGGGCAGGAAGTAAGCTGGTTACAACACCTGTGGCTTTTGTTGCTTGTCTTTATTTCCCCTTTTGCTAGGTTATGCCTAAAATGGTGCCAAGAAGAAAAATTTGTTACCCTATAAATCAATGAAACGTCATGGCGTAAAAATAAAAAAGTGGTTTCCTCACAAAAGCAGAATGTTTGAAATCACTTAACGGGACTCTGCGGCCGGTTCCCTGTTGTGGTCACCGCGCACATAGCGGGGCAGCTGCATGTTCTCTCTGCTGCCCACTTCTCCCGGCAGTCCTGTGAGTCGTTCCTGAGCTGGGGTGAGAGCAGAGGGGGCCCCGGGCAGCTTGTTGTTGACGCAGCCGGCGTCCAGCTCTGAGACGAGGCTTCGGGGCAAGTCCCAATTTTGCCAGTTCTTGGTGTATAATTCTTGAACAGAGCGCTTCTCCCCCTGCCGGACTCCCGTCACCCACACGAGAACTTAGCCGCTCCTTCGTAGCTCTCTGTCACGCCCTGCAAACCTCGGGGGATGGAAGAGACGGCGGCCTCCACGTCGCCCTTGAGGGGCAGCGAGGAGACAGACAAGACGAGCTGCAGGTGCAGGCGCGCCCAGCGTCCGCGTGTGCTCTCGGAGCGCAGGGCTGCTGGCCCAGACGGTGTGTGCTCCTGAACAGCCCTCCGGGACCCACTGAGTCTGCCCGCTGCCTCCTGACGCCATGGTTCCCGTGTGTCTCATTCCGGAGCGCATCTCAGCCCGCCCAGCGAGGTGGGGCCCCTCTGGGCACTTCTTCAAGGTAGGTTCACGTCGGGGGAGTCTGACCTGCTCTGAAGATGCATCTCGTTCTGACCCACCAAGGAGGTCTGGTCGGTGAAGTAGAAAAGGTTTGAATCTCGAGTGAAAGCAGTTCAGTCGTTTGTAGTTGAGGACATCTGGGAAAGAAAGCACTAGGTATCGTCAGCGTAGACGGACGACAGACCCACGCCACAAGGTGTAAAGAAAATAGAGGTGTGGACACATGATCTGAAGCTGCACTGGGAAAAAAAAGTCCTGAAAACACTGTCAGGAGCCCAAAAGAAGAATGGATTTTCAGGAGCCGGTGTGACAGCACGAGAGCTCTTGGAAGAGCTCGCATGGGTTCTGAAGGGTAGGTGTGTGCAGCGGAAGGAGGCTGGCACAGCAGCGAGGGGAGAGGCAAGGGGCCGTTGGGATCAGCGCGAGCAGCGTCAGGACGCAGAGCCACGGGTGGGCGAGTCGAAGCCCTGGGACTTGTGGAACGACGCCGGCTGCGCACCGGAGCAGAAGGAATTGGACCATGCCTGTTGCAGCGGCAGGTGTGCGTTGGGAGGTGTGGGAGCCGGGGCTGACGGTGTGAGCGTGGGAGCCTGTGGGCTGCCTGCCGTGCAGGGCACACTTGCTGCTGTCAGTGCTGTGTGCTGCCGCATGGGGACACGGGCCTGCCGGGCATGGAGGAGAACAGGTCAGCGGCACTGGCCGCAAGGGGGTGCTTCTGTGCTCTCCGTGGCTCTCGGCTGGCCTCGGAGGGGGGCCCACCCGTGGGCGTCTGGGTCAGGGCTGCAGTGGGGCTGCTCTCAAGCAATTTCATTTGTGTTTAAAGTAACTGATACAACTCTTGGCTTAAAGTAATCACTGAAGGTGCTAGGGGAAGAAGCTTTATTTATCTTTCTAAGATTTTATTTATTTGAGAGAGAGAGCAGGAGTTGGGGGGAGGGCCAGAGGGGGGTATGGGGCTTGATCCCAGGACCCCAAGATTGTAACCTGAGCTAAAGGCAGACGTGTAACTGACTGAGTCAGCCAGGTGTCCCCGGAGGAGAAGGAGTCTAAACAGATTTTCAGGGCTGCAGAACCCTGTTAGTGTCTCCATGACATTTATCTGAGCGTATGCACACACACACAGGTACTTCCTAGAAAGACAAGGAACTTTCCTAATTGGCGAAAGAGGCCGGGGTTCTGAGCGACATGGACATCTTCTGGAATCCAGCCGCAGGCTGGAGAGCCTGTCACTGCTCGCCTTGTTGCATGTCAGGCGGAGCGGGCCGGCCCCGTGGGGCTGGCAGGCAGCTGCAGCCGCCAACCGAAGTTTCATCGTGCATTTTGCTCCTTAGAGAAGCACAGTTATTCTCAGGAAGCGAAGTGGTCTCATCTCTGAAAATGAGAAGTCAGGATGAAAGTTGGTGTGTTAGCTTTCCCCCTGCATGCCAGTAAGAAATTAGTTTTTCCTGTCTGTTCCTAATACAGTTCTTCAAGGTTTAGAGGTGAGTTTAGGTAAGTCTTCTGATGTGTGCATGAGGTCTGTCCCAGCACTGGCGGCAGTCACCGTGGGGGCGCTGCCCTTGGCCCTCGGCGCCTGCAACACTGTGGCCAGAGGAGAAGGAGAGCAGGCCAAAGGCACACAGGACCAGAAAGAAGGGCCTAGCCACGGGCCCTGTGCGGGTGCTCCGGGACAAGGTGGGATTTGCAGCTGGCTCTGCCGCGACCCGAGGCATGGTTCTTCACCCATAGTCCTCCTGCCCCGCCCGATTGAGCTCCGCAGCTGCAACAACCGGAACTCATTCAGGGCTGAGGCACAGACTGGGCATGAGCAGCAAGGTGCGACAGGCGGCTTGGAAGAGAAAGCGGGCCTCTGTCCAGTACTTGAGGCGTGCGTCCGAAGCCAGGGAAGCTGTGTTGCTGAGGGTGTAGCCCAGAAGGAGGGGTCGATGACATCATTAAAGACCACCTTACGGCGCTCTAGGTGTGCTGTTAATAAGTGAAATCGTCAAGAAAATTCTTCCGGTTTTTATATCCCAAAGAAGAGGAGGAATCTAGTGTTCTGCTAAGCTTGCTTCAGCACAGTGGGCAGGTAGACCCAGCTCAGAGCTGCCCAACCCCCCCCCCCCCCCCCCCCCCCCCCCCCCCCCCCCCCCCCCCCCCGCCCCCCACCCTGCCTGCGTGTCCACCTTCCTGGTCCATGATCAGGTTGGGGAGGTGTCCCCAGCCCCTGGGCTGACTGCTCGTCCTCCAGGGGTCTGTGTGCACAGCTTAGCGCCGTGTAGTTGGCAGACTTGAAACGGTTTATTTCTTTGTGAAACACCAAAAGGTGAGTTTGGGGAAGGTGGCTACTTTTTTAGAGCTCTCCTAGCTGTGTTAACTAATAGACGTTCTGTGGTTACAGAAATGAAGAGTACTTGGTATTTTTAGCCATGTGTTTCCACTGTAGATCTTTGACACATGCTTTAAAATTAAATAGTCTCATAGGTCAACACTTCTAAAGGTCATGTGTTACCATCTGGGTTTTTTTTCTGGCTGCCCTACTTCACTAGACAGAAGCCCAGACCCTGAGGCATCGAGTCCTGTGCTCTCCCTGGGGCAGTGTGTCTTGGGGTGAGCAAGGGTCCTGTCTCAGCTGCCGTGTGCCCTGCCCTTTGCAGAGGCTAGAGCTTGCATGGTGCCCTAGATACATGTGCTGAGCTGGCTCCGTCACCAGGATACTTGGGAAACATCAGGCTCTCGAGAGTGGGAATGGCTGAGAGATCACACAGGTCTCCACCTTTGACCTGCTCCTCCGGAATCCTCAGATCCTAAACCACAAGGCCTCAGGGAAAACTCAGAGCCATGCGTCCTCCTCAGGGCAGGTGTGAGGACCAGGCATGAGATACCTCTGTCCAGTGCTTGCTTTTCAGACGAGTAAGAGTCTCTTCACTTGATGGATCATTTCTTTCCGCCTGTCTTCTTCACAAACTAACTTGGTTTTTGCTGTGGAGAGTAGTGGCCTCTGGAATGGTTGCTTTAGCTCCTGAAGATTTAATTTGCAATGTCACTTAATAATCATCTTTTCAGTACAAAATGTGACCAGATTGTGCTGACAGCCGCCACTGGCAAAGCTGTGCCTTGTTGTGACCTAGCTAGATGTAGAAAAGCCTCATTTTACCCCAGTGGTAATTGCGGGGTCCCGTTACTAAACAGCAGTTCCCTCCTGTGCGATGAGTATTGCTCTTTTAAAAAGTTGAGTGAGGGCCCTGCAGAGAATTGCCTGGCAGGAAGGCATGTGGACAGGAGGTGACTCTCCAAGAGTGTCTGCCACCGGGCCTCACAAAGAAGGTTGAGGGAGAAGACTGAGTGGCTCACAGGGCCAGACAAACACCAGGCTGGGAGGATATACGTGCCGTTCATGGGAATGACCGTTTTGGGATAGATTCTCTGGATGAGAAAAATTGCTAGGGAGATAGAATTTTCCTCAGTGATCCAAGTGTCAGCCTGGACTTGAATTTTGTGTTAAAGCTAATGTATAAATATGTTGGGTGTTTTGGGGTTTTTTTAAGCATGTACAACATGATGTTAAAACATTTCTCTGTTTTCTTCCTCTAGAGTTTACAGATGCTTCCCCAGCAACGGAAAGCCATAGCTAAGTTCAAGGAACCAGCTCATGCGTTAGCATTTCAACAGAAATTCCACAGGTAGCCGGTGTATTCCGTGGTTAGGGTGCTGTGGGAGTGGGTGGGAGAGCCTCTCTGCCAAAGCAGCTGTGGTCTGGCCCACGTGCGTGCGCCCACCTGCTGCTGTACAAAAGAGCGCACACAGTGCACCCTTCTGTAATGTGGGTCGTCAGCCCCCGTTTCTCTATTGATCTCTGTCCGTCTGCATTTTTATATAATTTCGTTAATCCGGACCCACCACTTTAGTTTTCTTCTACCTTGCTAAGTTGACTGCTGATGTGTGGAGTTCAGTTGATGTTGACTGTTTGTTTGCATTTCCACAGGCACATGATAGATTTGTCCCACATAAATGTGGCCCTGATTGTTGAGTGATTTCTAGCAGGAGACGCTGACCTGACACTGCACGCGCTGTGGGATTTCTTCGAGGGAGCTGCAGCACAGAATCCCCACAAGCGTAGGCCTCTCCGTCCGCAGTCTTGCATAACTGTTGTCTGGAGCGCCACACGGCCCAGTGTTGATTCCAGCAGAGCTGGACTTGGGGACACGGTGGACTGGGGTTTGCTGTTAGACTGCTTCACGTTCTGTTGTCACCACAGAGAACTACATTTTTCGTTTGCTTTTGTTTTCAAAGTGCTCACAATGCATGTAGACATCGTTCTTTGTGATCGTACTGTGTGATCGATCACAGTGACTTAGATTCAGGAAGGAACATTAACGTCACAAATTCTAAGTAGTTTTTCACAGCAAAGAATACTTGATAATGGTTGCACTTATCTTCAGTGCAGGCTAGACAAGTGTTTTCCCAGCCAAGCGTAACTTGCGCTGTCTTCTCAGAAAGCCCTCAAAAGGCTCTTGGAAAAACGTAGATGAAAATGTGGGTGATTATGATTGACAGTTGCATACCCTGGAAAGCAGGGCATGAGGGTGGTTGGGAGCGGTGCCAATTGTGTGGCAGATTCTGCTTCTTGTGAATACTCCAAAAGCACCGACTGTGTGTTCCCAGCTCCAGACGGGACTCCCCACCCCTTTACACCCTTCCCAAATCAGGCAACAGTCCTGGCAGGCCCGCCCCGCCTCCCTGGGCCTAAAGAAGGTGCCCGTAGCGCTGCCATCTCGCAGCGCTTCCGGAGTCCCCTGCCAGGCGGGCGACACCACATATCTACCATGCGAGGTGGAGGGACGGCCCAGAGCTTAAACAGACCTGTGTGGGTTTTTTTTCCCTCTTTTTAAATGCAGCCCAAAGGGGCTTATTTGTGTCCCTGGCTCGGCGACATATGCCATTCTTTCGGAACCTGGTTATCATTGCTTTGATTAACTCCTTGTTTTGGAAGCTTTTTTGAGCAGGGCTGCACCATCCTTCCGCAGACTAGGAGCAGGTCCCCCCTTGTGGAGTGTGGCATGAGGGACCGCCAAGCCCCACATGGAACTGACATGTGTTCGTAGCGCCAGTGAACCCGGTTGAGGAGTTCTGGGTAGGTTTCTTTAGGTGAGACACTTGTTCCCCATAAAGCAACCTTTAGTAAAATTCATTCTGGGCAAATGTTTAAAAAAGTGCCTTATTAAGTATTTCTGCTCACGAAGGAGATTTCACTGTTGTGGATTTATTCTAATGTGGACCTGAGTTATTTGAGCAAGTACTAGATACTAGGGCATACTCTGACTTTTTAGCTGTATTTTATACGTAAGATTTCCTGTCAGGTTTATTAGTAGAATTAGAGGAAATAGTAGCCCGCTGCCACTTAATACCTCCAGTTAGCCCAGTGCAGACCCGCTGTAGACCCCAAAACCCCCGCGGCCAGGCGTCCCCCGCCTCTCAGCCTTCTGGGGGGCTGGGACACAGGCCCTGGGAACCTGTGTCGTCTTGTTCCCAAAGGTGACATTTTCTAGTGTTTTTTCAATTGAAGTTACCTGAACGGGAGGGGAGTGTTCAGACCCCGTGAGGCTTGCTGCAGTGTTGATCCTGTGGTAAGAGCCCGGAGGATGAAGGTGGTTGTTGATGGCTGCTTTTCAGAAGGTTTTGGTGCCAGGAACAAGTAGGCACTCCTAGGATACACTAGAACAGCCTCCAGCCGAGGTGCCCAGCCTCGCTGGTTCCTGAAGGCCCCGACGAAGCTGCGAAAGGTGGTGTCACGCGCCAGGCCCGCCTTGCCGCTCCAGTGGAGGGTCCACAGTCAGGGCCGCGTGCCTGCCCGCAGCCAGCTGACACGGGCTGTCCTGTCCGCTCTTGTCACAAGTAGATACGGATGTGCTCATGGATTTAAAAGCGTAGTTTATCTGGTTCATTCCGCCAAGAGCTGCATTGAAGTGAAGAGCTTGGCAGCCTGGAAGCTCTCCTTGCGAGAGCTCAGACCACTTCCCCATGCGGGGCAGTGGGCAGGCTTTCAGTTGATGGATTTCCTTTATCACCGAGGACCAACTGATGCCTAAAATGGGATAGTCTGAGTGTGCTGTGGCCTTGACACCAAAAAGCTGCACATTGTGTCGGGAAAGTAGGCACAGAAACACACACTTTTCTAGTTAGTGCCGATAAACTAATCAGTCCTACGTGGGCACCGCTGTTGAAGACAGACCTGTGGCTACTTTCAGGTCTGCTTCTGGCATTGTCTAGTAGGACACGGGTGTCCGGGACGTGTGTGTCCGTAACTGTCTGCACACACGGAAGCTTTCTCTTGTTGTGATGTTCTTGAAAGCCTTGGGCCAGGGGGTTAGAAGGCTCAGCGCTGCCGCCTCCACGCGCCCAGCCATTGGGCATGGCCCCCGGCGGTGCCCCTGCCCTGGCCGGGGAGCAAAGGCTTAGTTTCCTTGAAGGGGACTGTGGAAAAGGAAAGAAGCAGAATTAGAAAGGAACGTTATTGCCATGGTCGGTGCGCTTTCCGCAGGGAAATCAGACCACCATCAGCTGAACCCTCTTGGAAGATCTGTTGCAACCATTATCTTTGTTCTTTATTTATCATGCATTTAAAATGAGATGCAGAAGCATTTAACATACTATGTAAATACGGACCTTTTAAAATTAAAATGTTATTGGAAATGCTTTCAATTCAGCAACAATCTTAGCTCTTTGTTAGTTCTTTTGTGTTGTCTTATCAGAGTTACATGGATACAGTTCCATAACTGTTGATGTGTTTGTGTGTATATTCGATTTTTATAAAGATGGTAGTAAGTCAATACATTTATCCTGACCTGTGTATTATTTGTTCCCAAATTCAAGAAGCTTAAAGTCAGTAAATATCAATATATCGCATAAGGTAAACATAATAGGTGATTATGTGGAGCCAAGTTACTTTTTCTTTTTGCATTGTCTTGTTTTGATTTTGTGCTGTAATATAAGATCACGTAGCCACTTATCTGAGCATAACCTTGCATTACCATTGGTCCGGCCACTTTGTTAAGTCCTTCTACTGATACTTTTCTAAAGGAGAAATCCTGTTTTTTTCCCAAAAGAAATGTTGAGGGGTTCCCCCCCTTTCTGGGCAGGCAGCATCATAAGTAGGTGCCTGTACCCTCACCCCAGGGGGCCTGGAGGGGTTGGGGAGGCTTCATAAGAACTACTTTTCATTGGGTCGTTCTTTTGATTTGTAATGGTCCTGGATAAACAATTGTTGGCGCTTGGTTCTGTAGCATTTCTAAATTGTGACAGCTTAGATCCTGCACCCAGGGGTCTTTTTTCAAAGAGCATTTTCCTCAGTTTCCAAACAGAAGACTTTGTTGCCCGTGGAAGGAGATTGGGGGAGCTGTCTAGGGTGAGATTGGGAGAGCTGTCTAGGGTGGACGGAGTGAGGAACCATGGAAAGGGTGGGGAGGAGACCTTTGCAGAATGAGGAGTTGTAATAAGTATGATAATGAACTTGGGACACACAGACTCTTTTAAGAGGAGTCAGCCAGTCATGTTGGGAGACGGGAGAGTGGGCTCGCAGACGGCTGTCGCTGGGGGACAGGAGGGTGCCCACCCGTCAGGGAGAGCCACCCTGCCACCCTTCCCTGCCTGGGCCTTGAGCTCTTCTTCCTCAGGAGGAGGCTGGACTGGCTCCCATCAAGTAGAGACGCACAGAGGCAGGGCCTTGCTCAGAGCGTTGGTTTTGAGAACCTATCATTTCCGTTCTTTTTCTTTCTTTCTTTTTTTTTTTTTTTGCTTGTGGTTTTCTGTTTTGTTCTGTTTATTTTGTTGTTTTTTTTGTTTTAATTAATTTTTTTGTTATTTAATTGAAGGTAAGCTCACCATGCTGGTAGACCACTGGACTGACAGGGACCCTGTTGCGGACAGTTGGGTTTTGGTAGAGGCCTGCGTGCCCAGCGTCTAGAGCGCCCTCGAGCCCTCCTTGTCCCTCGCAGCTCCCCAGAGAGCCCCCGCGGCCCGCCCACAGGACGTGCATCCCCCGTCAGCCTGTGCTGCCCTCAGCAGACGGCTTTGGGCTCCCTGATTGGCACGCTGCCCTTCTCGGGGTCATTTTGAATTTTTCCTCCCTTCCTGCTTGGAGGACTGTTGTGGTTTCACATATTCACTGGTAGACCTAATTTTACTTCCCTTAGTCAGATAGAGTCCCACCCCCCCCCCACCTTTTTTATTTATTTATTTGGAGTTGGGGGGGCTTCTGAGAGGTAGCCCTTGGTTCTTTACAAGTTTTTAAGTGACATTATTCTGAAAGGGAATTTCCTGAACGGCAGGAGGGGGGGCGGGTGATAGAGACGGGGCCAGGAGCCACTTGTTCCCCCCCCCCCCGTGAAGGAAGCCACAGGAGCTTCGATCATGTAGGGGAAAGTTTAGATATTTTACTGTGTTTCGTGAGCATTTCGATTAACCTTTTCAACTATTTTTAAAACTTGTGAATGAAGTGTTATTTTGGACATTCGTAAATATGAACTCTCCAAAGGCATTTGGCCTTGAATCACTAGTAAATCCTAAGGATTTTATGTAAGGTTTTTTTGCAACCTATTTAATTGTCATCATTTAAAGCGCCCATGGTTTTGTGTCCTAGAACCAAAGCAAAACTCACTGATTCATATTGGATCCCAGGTATACCTTCTTCTGGTAGCGTATGGTTGGGAAGGATCATTGGTTTTACACGTTGTAACCTGCCTTTTCTAGAGGATGTTTTTAAAACTCTTAACTCTCTCTTTTCTGTGCCGTGTTGTGGTAGGAAATCTTTTCATTAAGATGGGCAGGTAGAGCAGGTATCTTTCTTTAGTGAGAAGTTGCTTTTCCCTTTTATTTCTAACCAACTAAAATGTAAAAAGATCATGTTGGTGTTTTGCTCTATTTTATTTTGCTAATTTTAAAACGTATGTAGAAAAATACAGGCCCTTTAAAAAGAAACAATGTAGTTTTAAATTTTTAATACATTGCACAGAGTGGACAGATGTACTCTTTTAAT